ATATATATATATATATATACACACACATTTATGTAATGCATATATATTCTTAGATACACAGAAATATCCCATTTGCTCATGTCTCATTTTCTATAAAGTGCTGTGACAAAGGAATTACTCTAATTCCTTTTTTAGAAGTAAAGACAAATGTTTTTTCAAGATTAAAAAAAAAAATTTAGAGACAGAATCTGGCTCTGTTACCCAGGCTAGAGTGCAGTGGCTCAATCACACCCCACTGCAGCCTGGAACTCCTGGGCTCAAGGGATCCTCCCTCCTCAGCCTTCTGAGTAGCTAGAACTACAAGTGAATGTCACCACTCCAGGCTAATTTTTATTTATTTATTGAGGTGGGGGGTTTTTGCTATGCTTGCCCAGGCTGATCTTGAAGCCCTGGCCTCAAGTTATTCTCCTGCCTCCATCTCCCAAAGTGCTAGGATTACAGGTGTGAGCCACCTGGTCAGTTTTTGATGAATTGGCTTACATCTGTTTACATAATAATAAGTGGTAGAGACAGAACGGAAATGCATATGCCTCAATTCTAACCAAGGTTCTTAACCTGTTTTACTATTATTGTTGACATCTTACTAAAGCAGTAAAAGAGACAACCTGGCAAATATAAATAACATCATAATATACAATTATGCTGTAGCCATAACCTCCATTTAGAAATTAGAATATTTGACCAAAGATAAAACTTTCTATCCTATCAGGATGCCTTTCATTTGAAAGTATGAAAAATACTAAGAGTGGCTTAAATAACAAAGAAGAGGCATTCCTTCACATAATTCAGTGGTTCAGTGATTATCGGTTGCATACTGGTTTCTCCTATGCTCACTTGGCTCTGCCTTTCTGGTCCTGAGAGAAATGCAGCTGCTGCAGACCCTGAGCCTTCAAGGAGCAAGTCCAGAGGGAGGAAATGCTGAGCCTCTCGCCATCTCTCTGTCAGGAGGAAAACCTTTCCTAGAAATCACCGAAATTCTGCGCCAGTCTCATTGGCTTTACCTCTCCTTGCTTCAGCCAATCTATGCCAAAATAACTATCGTGGTCACGATGAGTTCTCAGATGAATCAACATTCACCCCTTGGAGTAGCAGAGATTTTCCAGGAACACCTGGGTGGGTGAAAACTTGGACAATATCTGTGTTTCTCTCATCAGCAAGGAACATCCAAAGAACAGATATTGGGTGGCCAATCAACAAGCTCTGTATTTGCTAAAAGCATGTTTTCATTTAAGTGCATGTTCACTGCTAAAACATCAATACATATTTTAAAAAAACCTTAATTCCACAATTGCTAATTCCGAAACTTCTTTCTATTTTCCACAGATATATATTACTCGTTTCAGACAGTGGCTTTTCCACACTCCCTGAATGCTGCCACTCCTCACTCTCCTCTTACTGGAGTTTCTTGAATTAAGTAAGTCATGGATCATGATTCTTTGTATTGGTTAATCAGGATATCAATACTATACTATGTGAAAACTGTGTAACTCAACCTTCCTTGGATTTCTCCTCCATTGCATTTATGTGATGATATGTAGCCTAAAAGTTTACTTGATAGATTGACACTATCAATCGATGAATCAATCAATTTAATTACAATCAACTTGAGTCTCCTGTAAGCAAAAGACTGTTTTTCTAAGTTGCAACCTAAAAGTATCTAGAAGCTTTTATATGTGTTGATGGTTCTCAAAATCAAATATTAATGTTAGAACTATTGAATTATTTACCCAAATTTCTGAATAAAATTAAGCAAAGGATTCAAATCATATTATAATTCCTAGTTTTTAAGGCCAGAGAAGGTAACTGCTTCTGTTGAAATATAAATTTTAGAAATTAAATAAGTGATCCATTTCATGAAAATCATACTCAAATTTGTAAACTGAAATTATTTGGGGATGTCATGAATAGCAATTCATTTTTCAATGAAAG